CATGCATTAAACAAGTTTTAAAATGAAAGTTAAAAAAAAATTTTTAACATTCGCTAAACATTTTAAAATAAATACGCATTTGTTCTATAAGGTCATGTATATTTCTAGTAAAGCCATATGTATGTTATCAAGAATTTATAAAATCCGCTAGAAGACCTTTATTCAATAGGTAGACAAGCAGGCAATTGCACAACAGTTTGCATTTTTTCCTTCACAACTTTATTAATTTTTTTTTTTTTGATGTACATTTCAAAACGCAAAGTAATGCCGCAAATTTAGAGAAAAGGCAAAATTGGCTCTTTTATACGATCCGACGCCAGAAAGTAAGTGGCTCTTTATAGGCTCTTTTTAACAACCCTAACTTTGCACATTCTTTTTAGGAAAAGCTTCAGATCGAGGTTCTGACGATATCGAGAAAGAGGACACTTACAACGTAAATGAAAGTAAGTTGTTTTTAAAATTTGTGAAGAGACAACATTTAAGTTAATCCAAAATTTTTCAGCTTTGGTGCCATCCAATCAGTTTAAAACTGAGATAAGTAACAATTATGATTGGAATGAAGATGACGATGACATTTTTGCTTCCATAAGCACTCAAGAAATCCTACATCAACACGTGAAGACCAAAAATTTTCCTCATATGTCGAAGTTCCCAGTAAATAAGCAGATTACTCAGGGTATGCATTGATGTTCCTCACATTTTATTATACTTATTATTTTGATTGGCTTTAAAGGTAACCAAAGAGACAATATTAGTGGGTACTCCAAGAGCTTGGTACTGAGAGAAACTAATGTTGCATTAGGACTTCAAAAAACTAGCGCAGAAAGGCCGGAGTTTGGAGAAGGCAAAAACGCAGCTGGCGTGAGTGAAATTTTTATTGAAAACGAATCGGAAGAAGTGAAAAGTAAAGTGAATCGAGATGAAGTGGGCAAGGTGAATAATCCGGAAAGTTCGCTTGTTTCTGCTGGTTTTCAAACAGCGAATGGTAAAAAAATCTCCATGTCGAAAAAAAGCCAAGTATCCGTACAAAATATTCTAAGAGAATTTCAAGACAATTAGCAAGAAACGAATTATGAAACTGAACTAAAAGACATAAAAGCTCGGATGTCGATTAAAAGTATGCAGTCAAAGTTTGGAAAAAATACAAACAGTAGTGCGCAAATAGCCAACAAAACAGGCTTTCAGGCGACCTTTAAAATACATCAAGATAATGTTAGCAAGGTGAATAATAATCCGGGAAGTTCGCTTGTTTCTGTTGTACTGGAAGATATGAGAAATCGCAAAAAGCACTTATTGTCATTAAACCCAAAATTTAATTACAACTCTGTGAGACACCCAATAGAAATTCACGACAAACTGAGACTACGACACCAGAATTAGGGGAATTTGTTAAAAATGCTGTTGAAACAAGTACACCATGCGTCAATAGACCAAAGAGGTGGCGGCTATCGGGCTTAAGACGTACTGGTGCTAGTCGAAAGAAATAAATACTACTTTATATTACATTGCGTAAAAGCAACGGAAGCCTTTTTTTGAATTCAAAAACGTCTTGATATCTTTTTTCATTTAAATTAGTTTTGCTATTTTTTTGGATTTTATTTAATTAACGACATTTCGATGTATTTTACTTCTCCTTGGTTTCTTGTATCTTTTTGCTTTCTTATGCTTTTTTCTAATTTAATGATTTTCTTATTATACTATTATGTATGTATATATATACTATTATACTATTTTATATTGCATTGTATAAATTACATACAGGTAGTTTGAATAAATTTGAAACCCTTTATTTAATTGTATGAAAAACAGTAAATTATTTACATATAATTTTTGCTTAAATAAAATTGAAATAGCAAGGTTTTGCTTGTATAATAAAAAAACGAGTATAATCTCATTTGTTTGCCATTTTTACCAAAAGATTTCAGATTAGTTCATCCTTTATAGCACACATTAGAATATTGTATGCCATTTATTTATTGAAATGCTTTTGGGCATATGTGCCATTAGCCTGCCGCCAATAATAGAGCTCCTGATTGTGTTTACTTATCGTCGTATTCGGGATGTTGTATTAAAGTTGCAATAGGCACGGTAAAACTCTACGACCGATTTCGATTTATCTATAAATTCATTAATATTTCGCCAACGTATATAGCCTGTATCAATAAGTTCCTGAACAGATGTCGGTACTTCTGAGAAATGAGGATCCTAAAAAAGAAAAAAAAATTAAAATTAGCACAAATTTTTCATTTTCACATTTTGTTTCACCTCCGTACCACTGTCAATAGAAGTATTTGGGATGGCAACCCTTTTCAATTGTGAAAACTCATATAAAATGAAAGATCATAGTATTTGTATAAAAATTGCTTACATGTGAAAATAAGCGTCCACATTTGTTTACAATTTTTAATAATTGCTCAAGTATTTGTATAAAAATTGCCTACATATGAGAATAAGCATCCAAATTTGTTTACAATTTTTAATAATTGTTCAAGTATTTGTACAAAAATTGCCTACATCTGAGAATAAGCGTATAAAAATTTGCCGTCAACTGAAAATGATTCTCAATAATTCCAAACAAGTGAGAATAAGTGTCCACATTTGTTTACAATTTTAATAATTGTTCAAGTGTTTGTATAAAAATTCCCTACATGTGAGAATAATCCATAAATTTTACATATTTTAACCTATTGAGCAATTGCGAGATCACAGTAACCACCCATGCGATTGAGAACATTTGTAGATTGCTGTGCACACCCTACAATCGTTACAAAGATCTTCATGAGTACGGAAATGAAATAAATTGAGATAATCATTTATTAATTTTTGGATAAAACGGCTAAATGCCGTTATTTGGTTTTTCCCTTTTCATCGTTTATTAAAAAAAAATAAGTGTTGCTTTCATAAAGGCACATTCAAACATCTCTTACAGGGAAAAATACGCCACACAAAAAATTTCTCCGACCATGAAAAATATCCCACACCAAAAATTTACCCAACTATGAAAAATATACCCGACCATAAATTTCTATTGAACAAGCCAAAAAATAGAAGTAAAATGTTGTTATTAAATGATCACGTATATAATATATACGTTAGGCGGAATAGCTCCTTTGCTCATTTTATGTTATTTGGATTGTTGTATATTGCGTATTACGTTCATTTTTCAAAAATTTAAATTAAGCTTATTCAATATTCACATATGATTCAACGAAACTTCGCATATGCTTTCGGAGCCCTTTGCAACGTTTGAGTGAAGTATAAAGTGCGATATTCCGGAATTCGGGATTTAGTTTCTTCAGCACCCGCATCTTATTTTAATGACGATGTCAACGTTTCGCCAGAGGTCTTGCGAGTATATGAGGAAATAAAAATCAGCATATCACCTGCGCTTTCAAGTTGAATGATACTGAAGTGAAAGATATAAAGACTAATTTAAAAACTTTGCATTTGTTTATATAACACGGGAGTAAACCGCAATGCATTTTAAACCACTATACTTTCTTTATAGGTTAATTCATAGATCTTGTTGATCATTATTTTTTCGTTTATCCAGAAAAAGATGTACAGAGTTAACGTCTCAACAATCGAAAAACTATACTCCCCCTTCACGAGTAAACCTTATTCTGCCCACGACACAACTTCCACTTTTTTTCTTTTTTTATATTTGCCGTAACATATCAGCTGAGAGAGATGCCAACGCTATATAATATTGCTTTCTTATTCTTACTAAAATTGTACTGCCTGCTAAACCGCCTTTGGTAACCACATTCGTTAATGTGTTAACTTTTATAATAAAAATAAAAAGATATAAAATTCAAGTTTACAATAAAAGTAATGCATAAATTCTTTTTTTATTTGGAATGTTCTGCTCAGTCTTTTAATATATGGCGTAAGGAATTCTGAACACATATTAAAAACAATTACAAAATAAACCAAAAGGTGGTAAACATTACCTATTTCTAATTAAAATTGCCTGCACTTTATTACTTATTACTCGGAGAGCAATGTAACTTATAATTGCAATTTTTTTTTTTTAAATGTTTACTAGGCATCTTTGTATTTTAGGATATGGAGTGCATATGGTTTTGTGTTATTTCATTTAATTTTACTTTATAAACAATTTATATAATTTGGTTTTTATTTATGCTTGTATGATTTGTAATTGTAACGAAAAATTTGCCTTTTATTTTCCCTTTAGATTTTAGAAAGCGTCATTCGAAATTTATATACAAAATTCACTATTCGCAATGTAGCAAGTGAGAACTAGTTAACTAAAAGAGGCATTCATCAGTATCATAAAAATCGCCCATCGCTACTAACTGCTATGTAAAAAGATGTAAACAAATCATTTGATCACTTGTCTTTAATTTTGATTTTATGGAGTTAATCGCAGGTGAGCGGGTGAGACGTTCATATGCTACTTACAATTCCTTCTTTTTAATACATTATTTATATTTTGTGATATATTGTTCAATGAATAGAGTGATATTTCTTCTAGTTACTTTTTACTCTCTTTTTGCTTTCAATTCCCTTTGTTCACCCATATTCTTTCCTCCATAAAATGGCTTTATCAAAAGGAGCGACTCTATTCTTTAGCCTTGTTTCATAACTCTCTCTTAGAAGTATTCCGCTCTCTTTCTGGTATTCTCTTAAATTTCTAAAATAAAAACTCTTTGCTGTGAATTGTACTAAAATGCTATTCGTATACTAAAATACCACATATTAAAATGCATTGGGATTTTAATTTTGTTTATATATAAAATGTTTTACAAAAATTTACTCTCATCAGACGTTTCTCTGTATTCGTAAGTATATATATGAAAGTCGTTGCAGATACACAAAACCTGAAATCGTAACGATGTTGCTTGCTTTAATCAATACACACATGATTAATATCAGTCTTTTTATAGGGTTCGTTGTTGTAAAGTTGCTTACGCTGAGGTTTAATAGCGGTGTAGAAGTAATTATTGTGGAAATTTTTTTCTATTGAAATCATTCAAAGTGCAATAAATTGCATTGCTTTAGTTCAACGGGAGCTTAGAAGTTTGTTGTTTTGATGTAAAGTAAAAAATGATTCTTTTGTTTGCTTTAACATTAAAAAGATAAAAATAAAGTAAAAAAATGAGTGCAAGTGATTGAAGTGCAATATTTTTCAAAGTAGAATTGTGTCCATATGTGCAAGTAAGTTGTAATTGTAAAAATGCGTAGTGAAAAAGAGAGAATTGTGTAGAAGCAAATATCTGGTCCATTGATGAAAGTGAGTTGACAAAAACAAAGAAATAATTACTTATGAATTGAAATAAAAACCTCTGATTTTTTTTGTAATGCTTTGAAATACCTCTTCTTGCTGTTCTGTGTAAAACAGTTTTCGCATTCCTAGGCATTCATTTTTTGGATGTATTGTCTATTATTACGGTTTGTTGCTGTAGCTGTATTTAAGCACTGTTGCCGTGGAAATTGTTTGTTTTCTAATGTACTAAAACAAACCAGCGTTGCAGAAAGTCTCTATTTAAAACCGGTTATTTTTTTATGTATAGTTTGGAAAAGTATATTAAATGAAGCAATAACAATAAAGACCAAATTAACGAAAACGAAATTTTTAATGGATTGGGGATATGTGTGTATTTTTCTTCTCTTTTCAAGAAATTTTATAGCTTTTACATATGAAGTACTGAAAAACCATGAAAATCTTATTGCACTCACAACGAACACCTGCTCTTTCTTATTTTGGTTTGTGTTAAACAAATTTATCTACGAAGTTTTTCCCTTTTTCTTTATAAATAAATTTTTAACCAAAAAAGCCATAGAAATAAATCATAGTTGCTTTTTATGTTCAGATGGTACTATTTTAAATTCTAAGCACGAAACGCATTTCTCCTAGCTGCCAAATAAATATTTTTATTTTTATGTGCCTTTTGCCTTTGATATTTCATAAATTTTATATATACATATGTAGACAGAAGAATGGATGTGTATTGTTGTAAATTGGGGGGGGGGAGGTACTCTTTTTCCATTTTTCTCCTATTTGTCTTCCATTTATAAAGTAAAAGCATTTCTATATTTAAAAATGGTTTTAGAATTATGTCAAGTACAATCAAATCCTGCAGAGAAGTTCAATTTAAAAATATCCCACGTCTCCAGGTGGACAGTGAAATAGGTGTATACACAAAAACTTTAAACTAAAGTATTATTTTGTGCTTAAATGTATATGTACATATAATAGAAATCAATTCAGACATTAATAGCTAAGACAGCTATTATAACCATCATGTTTAAAGGCTGCTTCGAGTCTTTTAGCCATGGACGAAAGACTGGGGTCGGGGGGCTGGTTCGGCTGAAACCACGCCTCCAGCAAATTTTATTAATATTTGGTCATTATCTTCCATACTAGTACCATATGATAGCTTTACGGTTTCCAACAAGTTTTTATATAGTTTTTATGCATAGTGTTTTCTGTGACGTGTATCGAATCGAAACTGTTGCATGGAAAGCACCTTCACGCTTTTCCAACCAACATACTTTCACTTTCGCATCATTTCCAAAAAAAATTATTTTTTGTTCGTCACTTCAAAGTGTATTTCTCCACTTTTTTGCCTTTTGGTTCGCACCAATTTTTATGGGATAAAGTCGTTCTTTTTGTTCAAATTAACTGTTCTGTGCAAAGAATCTGACCGAGCTATTTTGCCTGCTAAATTTGCACCGAATAATCGTCGTCGAACAGTTTGGGATGATACAACAAGATTGGACTTGAAGGTAACCCGCTTTGTCAAAATTATCACGCGTTTATCGAAAGCAAGAGAATTGATTAACACCGCGTCTTTCAATTCTTTTTTTTAGACATTCGTGAAACAGAAAAATTGTTCAATGTGGCAGAGGGCATTTGGTGGTTAGGAGTTTCCCAATTAATATCTAATGCTTTGGTGTGCATGACAGATTGCCCGACCTAGGCAGCTTAATAGATCTTACTGCCCTCGGCTTCGAAACGTGTCACGACAGTGTGGTTTGCAGATTTCCGCAAAGGCTCTAATTAAAGTTTACGTCGGATGTAATCATTAAATTAAGAACGAGGTTATATTCACACAAATCTCTGTCTTATATTTTGTTTTCTTATTCACAGTTTCGCCTAAGATTGCTTAACATAAATGTTTATAAAATGAGCTTATTCCTAAATTAGCAAAGTATTGATTTTACAATCAAACAAATCCATCAGGAAAGAAGGTTTTTGTTAAAACGTTTGCAAGATTCAGAAGAAGCACCACAATGTATGGTTGGTCAGCATCAAATTCTAAATTGAATTGAGCATGTCTGTCTGACCGTCCGTATAATATCTGTTGTAAGCACTCTCCTCGCAGCGAAAACAAAGCTATCGATTTCAAATTTGACAGAAACATTGGAAGTTCTTGCGTGCAGGTTGGTATTGAAAATGTACTAAATCGGTCGAAGTAAATGCCCACAGCATCACGTAAATAGAGAATATCCCTGTTTTTTAAAGGCAATGACAAATTGTTTTTTTGCTCATTACTCATAAACTTTAGCAAATAAATATACAAAGATTTGAACGCATATTCTATGAACACGTATTCTATGTAGCATTTGTGTACAAAAAAATTTACCCACCCCACCTAATATTATGGTGTATCAAAATTTAATTGTTGTTTGAAGCTTACAAGTTCTTGACCAGTTTAAAACTTGGAATACACGGAAGCCTGTCCGCCTGTTCGTTTCTCCAACTGTCTGTTCCCGCAACTTTGCAGTATTTGTGATAAACATTCTCCCGTCGGCGAAAATGAAGATATCGCTTACAAAATTTGCAATAGAATTTTGAAAGGGGACCCCTACAGCGCCCACATGCCTATACCACAACATCTTTTATTTTGAAAATAGAGAAAATCAGCTGCGCCCACTTCATGTTATAAAATATGAGAATTTTGCTTTTTTACTTCTTTTGTCTATTTTTGGGGTAAACGGTGATGAAAGATTCGGTCCCGACCGAATTTAATTTTCTTACTAGTTTTCCTTTTATATTTATTTGTGTATATTATTTTGGCATATTTCACTACACGATTTGTGTTCAAAACTATATTTTAAAAAATTTATGACGAAGTTTGTTCACCGACTTGGTGATGCTTAGTGTGAATTTGTACGTTTCCCCTCGATTTTGAAGCTGTTGAATAAGCCGTCTTTCCTCTTCGCTACAATGATGTAGTCGATTTAATATCTAATTTGCTTTTTTTGATTCATATTTTCCTTTACAGCGAAATATTTCAAAATACTCTACTTTTTATAACTTTAAAGTGGACGCACCCATTTCACTGGCCCTATGAAACAGCCACTAAACTAAAATCAAAGCCTTCGACGTCTTACTGTAAGGACTAATCCACGTGGGATTCGCGGAAATTATTTTGAACAGTGTCGTCACATGCAAAAACCTTTTGTGGGCTTTGTGGAAGGTGGTACCCTCTAAAATTTCTGTGGGATAGAAATGAACAATACACTTCACACTTGTTTTTCCGTCCATATGTGTGCATGGCACACGTACAATGATGGCGTATAAATGATATGTTTCTAAATCCACGATTGACGAATTAAGGATTATCTCAAAATGGTAAAGACTCGGAATTGAGTCTTCTATTACTTATTGGACCTTAAATTATATATTTTATATTGAATTACGGTTTTATTAATACGCGACTGAAAACAATCAGCTTGTTTAAAGTGTGGTCGCCGTTGGGTAAAAAATGGGTTTTCTTCAAATTTAAAATATTTTTGTGAACGCAATTGGTTTACATTTCTTTAGACAAAAATCGTTAAGATGAACATCCCATATTTCATTAACGATGCTAACTCAACACACCTCATTTACTTCTGCAATATTTGCCTCAGCTAAATCGCTGAAATTGTGCGTGTTCAGTTATTATAAAATGAAAATCTGGAACTCCTATCTGCAAGTACACTGGCTCTAAAGCTTACTAGCAAGAATTGAGCGTTGATCGAATTATCTAGGTGGGATTGTTTGACAGTCAAAAGTCTAAACGCAATCTAAGCTTGCGTATACATGTATATACTTTATGCTAGAACACATAATTTTTCTTGTTATATAAACTAAGCAAAATCGAAAAGGTGCAAAAAGATAATCGTGTAAACCGGGAGCCGAGTGTGTGTGAAAGAATACACCTGTTCTAAATTGGAGAATTATTATCTGTCTTTGCTATATGACTGAAGATATTTTGGTAAGCTCAAAACATCCCATCGTTATATCAATAACAAAATGATGCCTTTGACATTTGTTGCAATGTTTGGACGAACTAGCTGCTGTGACTCAAAGTAATTTCTAGCGTGTTCTCCCAGGTTGTTTTTGTTCAAGCATTTTACTTTGTATTACTTTACCGCACATTAAGCGCATTTCTTTTATGAGGTATTATAATAAACAATTTTCTTCATCGCAATTTCCAAATGTATGGGTGGATATGTAAATTATTTTAGGATTACTCTATAGCAATTGAAACTAATTCACATACAACTATTCAATGAAGGTTTCTAAAATTCTTTGTAAACTGTGAACACTACGCTGTAGATGAACGTACCGCGGCTTGTTTGTGACTTTTGAGTGCCGTCTTTCAAGATGGCATCAGTTTTAATACTAATAATTCATAATAATTCATTGAGGAAAGAAATTAGAGAAAAATGTTTCAAAAAAGTCATCTTTTCTGAGGGCCTAATGATCTCTTGAAGACTCAAAAATGACGAAGAAAAATGATTACTCACACGGTGAAGCTGATTTTCCGTTCATAGGTGCGTAGGAGCATTCGGGAACTTGAAATATTAAGCGCATTTTACCCGAAGGAATTTTTCAAAACGGTAAGCACCATAATTAAAACAATATTCATTATTTTCATTCAAATCTTCAACGATGTATATACAATAACATTTCAAAGAAAAGTACACGAAGAGTTTCGGCAAATTAACTAAATAGTATTAGTTAAGACGTAATTGCCTTTATATGTTCCAATGTTTTCATTTAAATAATCTCCAATCACACAAAAGTCAAAATTTTTAAAATTTCCCCTTACTTCGTAGCTATGCATGTGCATGTGCGAATTAAACGACATAAATCTTTTTTATTTTCAAATACGTACCGGTCACAGACCCCTCAAAATCAAGACACCTCACGAGAATGGCTCCAAGTGTAATTTTTATTATTATTAACTGCTATGCTTAATAGCTTTCTCTAATATTACTACTCTATATTGTTCCTTT